GTTGTTTTTATAAAACACCTAAGTGGTGCTTTCAATATTTACAGCAAGTCACAAAAATTAAACTCACGAGCAAATTTACACGATACACGATATTAAAAATCTTAATACTAATTTTTGTTGAGTTCTCCAAAATAGTATTCCTTAGTTTTTTTAACGGGTTTGACTTAGCACAACACGCACATTACTATAATTTTAAACCTAAAATATTTAAAATCAAAAGGTTTTACACCAACGCAAAAGGTTTAGTTCTCCTGAATTTCTCTCACTATTCCACATTGATCCAGGAGCTGAAGGAGCAACTCGTCAAACTTTCCGTGTGAATTGGTATCAAAAGACTATTATAACGTTATTTTTGTATGCTCTATGTCTTCAGAGAGTCGGAAAGAAACAAACTCAAATACGGAAGTCAGCAAATGTGTCCTGCTATTTCCGCTAAGTGTAATACTACAAAAGACGCCACCTATTTTGTTAGCTTTAAACGAAACGACTATCGTTTTCTGTCTTTTTGAACTGTACGAAATGTGTAAAAGATTTAAAAATTTCAGTAAGAGCTTTGCTACGGCTTTGATGAATTGGATCGCTGAATATATAAAAATAAACTTCGAAAGGAATACCATTCGTCAAACTTTGCGTGTATAAATTGGTATCAGTAGAGTATCAATGTTATTCTAAAAAGGGTATTAAAGAGTATCAATGTTATTCTATGTCCGTTCAAACATAGAAAATGCAGCATTAATCGCCATTTCTACCGAGAACAACATCCACGAAGTAACTGTGAAAATAGGCAATGTCATAATAGCTAACATATACAAACCTCCTGCTATTACCTGGCCTGTCCAAGTTCTTAATTCCTATGAACATCCAGCCATATACGTAGTTGATTTCAACAGCCACCATGAGATGTGGAAATACTCAAACACTGACAGAAATGGCACATCCCTTGTGGAATGGGCAGAGGAACACGGTGCCCACCTTCTATTTGACGCCAAAGATAGAGGCACTTTCAGATCTGCGGCCTGGAGGAGAGAATATAACCCTGATCTCTGTTTTGTTACCATTGACAACAAAGGCCAACCGCTAGCAGCATCACGAAGGGTTATGTCTGACTTTCCACATAGTCAACATCGCCCCGTCCTAATCAAGATCGGTATCAGCATTCCGATTATAAGATCGTTCCCATGACCCAGATGGAACTTCAAGAAAGCTAACTGATCTGCTTTCACCAGTAACCTTAACAAATGCCTAGGATGGATTCCACCAAAGAGCCAGAACTACGGGAGACTAACAGGAGCAATAATCACCTCAGCAAAAGCGACAATCCCTAGAGGATACCACAAAGAATATATCCCTGGTTGGACAGAACAGAGCGAAAAACTGTATGAAGAATATTGCGAAGATGGAAAGCAGGAGATTGCAGACGAACTACTCCACAGCATCGATGCTGCCAGGCGTGAACAATAGACACAGACAGTAGAAAACCTAGACTTCCAGAAGTCAGTCACAGCTTGGTCCTACTGCGGAAACTCGGAAGTAGCAACCCACCCGTTCGCCAAACCAACCTAGTAACTCCAGACCAAATAGCTACGCAAATAGTGTCAACCTCTAGGGCATCTCAAAATCGTTTACATACAATTAAAGTTAAAAAAGACCTCAAAACCATAAAATCTAGTCTTGCACAGTCAACAGAATATTCCAACCCATTTACGCATGAAGAAATATCGCAAGCCCTAAATGAAATGAAAACAGGAAAAGCGCCGGGTTTCGACGCTATTCACGCTGAGTTCCTCAAACATAGCGGCAGATTCACTAGGCAATGGCTCGCAGAATTCTTTTCTGACATCCTTCAAACGGGAAACGTCCCCCACCAACTCAAAAATGCAAAAATCGTCGCCATTTTAAAACCAGGGAAAAGTAATAATTCACCGAAAAACTACCGCCCCATCGCACTCTTAAGTATGGTGTACAAATTGTTCGAAAGACTGTTGTATAATAGAATCAGCAAAACCATATTCCAACACTTACCAGTGGAACAGGCAGGATTTCGGCCAAACCGCAGCTGCACAGACCAGGTACTCGCCCTGACCAATTATGTGGAATCAAACTTTCAAAAGCAATCAAAAACAACCGCTGTCTTCATCGATCTATCTGCTGCTTATGACACTGTGTGGCGACAAGGGGCAATATATAAATTAATGCGAATAATCCCATGCAGAAAGACCACTGAGGTTATTAACGCCATGCTATCCAACAGATGCTTTAAAGTTATATTGGGAGACAAGACTAGTACCCAAAGAAAACTGAATAATGGACTTCCACAAGGATCCGTGCTGGCCCCCTTGCTTTTCAGCCTCTATATAGCAGACATGCCAGAAACCACATCAAAAAAGTTTGGATACGCAGACGACTGGACGCTTGCCGCAAGTCATAAAGAATTCGAGGTCACTGAACGCATTCTAACAAACGATTTAAATGCCCTAGGGAATTATTTCCGAAAATGGAGATTGCAACCCAATCCAACTAAGACAGAAGTGTCCTGCTTCCATTTATATAACAAGATGGCCAACTATCAACCTCAAATCAATTTTGAGGATAGACTCCTTAAATATAATAAACACCCAAAATACTTAGGTGTTACACTTGACAGAACGCTGAACTTTAAAGAGCATCTTACTAAGACTGCTGCAAAACTCCGAACTCGTAACAACATCCTGCAAAAGCTCTGCGGCACTACATGGGGCTCCTCAGCACCCACACTTAGATCGACAGCATTAGGACTGGTATACCCCGTAGCGGAATACTGTGCACCAGTATGGATAAACAGTCCACATACTCACCGTGTTGATGTCCAACTCAACCAAGCCATGCGAACTATATCGGGCACAATCAAGGCCACGCCCACTTACTGGTTACCAGCTTTGAGTCATATAGCTCCACCACCCATCCGCCGGGAACATGCCCTTGTCAGAGAATTTACAAAAATCAATACTGATCCTGAGCTCCGCTCCCATGTCGGAACTTCCGCCAGAGACATAAATAGGCTCCGTTCAAGACACCCGCCTCTAAAAACAGCAAAAAGGCTAGTAGATCAAAACTTTAATGTAACTGAACGGTGGAGAGAACAATGGGAGAATAACGCTGCACCAGCTAACTGGAACATGCCATGTATTACAAGCAAACCTGAGGGCTTCAACCAACCGAGACGAATTTGGACCACACTCAATAGAATAAGGACGAACTGTGGCAGATGTTCCGACTCACTTTTTAGATGGGGAAAAATACAATCACCAAATTGCGACTGCGGCGCCGAAAGGCAAACAGTAAAACACATGGTAGAGGAATGCCCGATTAGATCCTATAATGGCAACCCTTCAGATTTCCTGGCTGCTACAAAAGAGTCAATCGAATATATTTATAATCTAGATGTTTGTTTGTAGAATAATATTTTTATATTTACTGTTGTTTGTAATTTATATAATTTATATATTTATATTTATATGAACCTGTGATGTAGCCATACGCTAAATAAATAAATAAATAAATCTAAAAAGGGTTTCTTCTTTTCTTCGCGTGTTGTCTTCACTTCTTCTATTAAAAATGCGTTTTGTTTTTTGATATGCTAGCGTCTGTTACTTCCTCTCTCCAAGTGATGTAGTTGCTGCCTTAATTATGATATTTTTGAGTTTTTTCCAGCTTTCCTCGATGTTTTCTATTCCTTTATTCTGAGCAATCTTCCCTGACATAATTTTCTGTATAAATATTTCTGCATTCCGCATTTAATCCTTCAAGTTTGATTTTTGTTTTTGTTGTGCCGCTCTCTTGGGTGTGAAGTATTTATGATTATTCTTATTTTATATAATGCTACTTATGGTCGCTACCTACAACTGCTGAGTTAAGGCATCTTATGCCAATTATTTTTGTTGGATGTATATCTCTGTTGGTTATAACATAATCTATCATAGATCTTTGTCCATGGGTGTTATTGAATATATATTTGTGTTGGTCTTTGTGGTCAAAAAATGTATTGTTTATTATAAGTTAGTTATTGGCGCAGAAGTTTATCAACAGTTTTCTATTTTCGATTTTAACATTCTTGTTGGGTTTTTGGTTAATTCCGGGTATTACTTGGTTGCCTATTTGAGCATTAAAATTTCCTAATATTGTCATCTTTGCTTCGACTTAATCTATTAATTGTTCCCTTGTTGTTTGAGGCTTGTTATTTTGTGGGTCGTATACTCCGATGATGGTCAGGTCTTCCTTCTCTATTCTTTACCTTTACCTTCTACATTCTTTTTCCTTCACTTTTAGTTTATTAACATTAATTAGTTTTTCTGATTTAAAATGGGTATTTTAATATTGAGCTGTGATTATTTTTCCAATTAAAACCTCATCTGGGCATGTAAATGTTGCTTGGTCATTAAATAGAACATGTTCTATTTTATTTTCTTTAGAAGTTTATTTGTTTACATACTAATATATCGCTTTCTTAATCACATCGCATGCAACTTGTATAAACAATGTATCAAATTCATGTATTTCACTAACTTCAAAAAGTATGAAAGAAAAGTGGATATCCTTAAATAAAGCACAGATTGCACAAACTGCTCATTTCGGCTCTTAACTCTTCTAAATTATAATAAGACTAGCATGGACCAAGTTAATCTCAGGAAAACAAAGTTTAAAAAACTAAACCAAACTATACTGTTATTATACTAAATGGTATCATATCGGCAAACTTTCTTCCAGATCTTAATTATTTGTAGTAAAAATTCAGGTTCACATTTAAACTTAAGGATTTCTATGAAAACAATCAAATAAAACAAGTTTTACTTAAGAAACATATATTTTTAGTCCAATTTTGACCATTTACAATTTTTTGTATCTCCCCAAAACCTTCAAAAATTATAGCTATTTTAGCTATATTTCAAGCAAATTTTAGTCACTAAAACTACCTACATATAAACATCACATTATTAAATAACAAGCTAATTTTATTTTTTTAGCAATGAATTAAAACATGAAGAAAACAAAACAAAGGAAATAAGTTATTTTCGTTTAGTAAGTATTACAAAAAAATATTGTAATTTACACATACGATTTCTTATTGAAGCATTTTCAATTTAACTCACAATTAGTTTATCAAAATTTTTTGATGCTACGCCTATGGTAGTCAAAATGACATGATGTCGTACCACATCTGTAAGGGTGGAATGTCGAGGCTACTCATTGTTCCTTAGCGTTACTTGACTTGAGACGCCACCGAGTTGATTTGAAAGGGTTCTTTGTGCCTAACCTGTAGGGGTCCCCGCGCCATTGCCCAATCCCCACGCTAACCCCCAACCCAACCTCCACCCAAACCACGTAAAAAACGATGCTATAAATGAACCGTCCTCTGTTCCAAGAAGCAGCAATGCATTGATTAGTGATCAGTGTAGTGGGGGCTCGGGAGACTGAGACGTTGGAAGCCCTGAAGAATACATCAAAGAGAATGTCGAAAGCTCGGAGGAAAGATAATCGACGCGGTTTAACCCGGAAGACCTGTAATTGTAATAATCTTAGCTCTAGGTTTAATTCTACCATATATATATATATATATATATATATATATATATATATATATATATATATATATATATATATATATATATATATATATATCATCATCAGTGGTGCTACAGCTCTAGTTGAGCCTTGACCTTCCCCAGTCTATTTCGCCAGTCGTTTCTGTTCATCGCCAACCGTTGCCAATTTGCCGCGCCGATTTTCCTTGCGTCCTCGTCCACACCGTCCCTCCATCTCAGTCGTGGTCTGCCTCTACTCCTATTTCCCACTGGGACCGATAATAGAGTTCGTCTGGGTGGGTAATTTTCATTTGCTCTTGACACATGTCCAGCCCATCTAAGCCTACCTATTTTTATGAAGGATATTACATCTCTACCATTTACTATTTTTTTATACTTCTCGTACAATTCGAAATTATATCGCCTTCTCCAAATACCATTCTCACAGAATGCGCCCATTATTCTTCTTAGTATCTTCCTTTCGAAGACGAGCAGAAGATTTGCGTCTGTTTTGGAGATGGTCCATGTTTCTGACCCATATGTCAGCACTGGTAGGATGAGTGTTCGATATATTATTAGTTTGGTTTTCTGGCTTAAATTTCTGTTTTTTAGCTGCTTGCTTAGTCCAAAATAACATTTGTTTGCTAGCAGTACCCTCCGTTTAACTTCTTCAGATGTGTCATTATCGTTTGTTATGAGAGAACCCAAATATGTAAACTTATTTACTACCTCAAAATTATATTGGTCTATACTGAAGTTTTGTTCGGCGTTTCTAGCTCTATCTCTGTTATTTGGAATAGATGCTAGCATTTTGGTTTTTTCCTCGTTTATTTTAAGGCCCATATTTTGTGCGGCTGTCAAGAAGGTGGAAGTCATCTCTTTAAGTCCTCGTGTAGTACGTGCAATCAAATCCAAATCGTCAGCGTACGCCATAATCTGCGTTGATTTATTAAAGATTGTTCCCCTATTGTGTAACTCGGCATCTCTTATAGTCTTTTCTAACGCTATATTAAAGAGAAGGCACGCCAGCGCGTCTCCCTGCCGTAACCCTGCATATGTTTCAAACGCTTGTGACATATCGTCTTGTATTTGCACTCTGCAGATCACTTTACTCATAGTTGTTTTTACGAGCCTTATTAATTTATGGGGAATGTTAAGTTCATTCATGGCTTCGTATAATTTACCTCTTAGGACGCTATCATACGCTGACTTAAAGTCCACAAAGAGATGGAACGTGTCAATATTACCAAAAAGGCAACGTCCGAAATACTGTAGTCACTATGGGCTTTTAGGTCATTATAATTGCGCCGAGCATACGGCATTCTCTTCGAAGTCTTCTTCAGAGCTTCCGAGGTCTCAGTGTCCCAAGCTCCCAGACACTCTGAATTTTAGCTCTAGATAAACGAAGAATGATCACAGTTGTCCAATTATTAATTAGTATAATGGTAAGGTTAATTGGGTTAGCAGCTGGCCCAATTAACCTTACCATTATACTATATATATATATATATATATATATATATATAATATATATATATATATATATATATATATATATATATATATATATATATATATATATATATATATATATATATATATATATAGTGTGTGTTCCGAAAAACTTCTGCGTTTTATACAATTAAACCTAGAGCTAAAATTCAGAGTGTCTGGGAGCTTGGGACACTGAGACCTCGGAAGCTCTGAAGAAGACTTCGAAGAGAATGCCGTATGCTCGGCGCAATTATAATGACCTAAAAGCCCATAGTGACTACAGTATTTCGGACGTTGCCTTTTTGGTAAAGTTATGAATTTAGACCTCAACTAGTCCTCCAGGATTTTACTAGTTCAGCACACATAAAAAAAACTTAACTATAATTTAAATAATTTCTTGGTTAATTAGTTTTAATATATCTTTCGAGATATTATGAGGGCCAAAGGATTTCCTATTCTTTGTCAACTTTATAACACCTTCTACATTTAGTATTTCTTGTCCTTGTTTTTATATAACAAAGTTGTCCAAATTTCTTCTTCAATTATCCTGGAGCCTGGATAATGTTTATTCTACCTGTGTCTGTATGTAGTCAGACGTCCTTATCCATATGATATCCGTAATTTCATTTATAATGTTACTATTGAACTGTTTTTATTAATCTAATTTATTGTCTTTATTTATTATAAAAGGTTCTACACTTTTTCAACAATTACAAGTTATTAGAGTCTTTATTAATTTATTATAATCTTACAATGATTTATTTCCACTATTATATACAGTTTAACACTAATTTATTCTACAATATTTATCTATTCTACTACATTTCCACGTTAAATTAATTCGATATCATTATATTTTCGGACTAACTTCTTTTTACAATAAAATTTCTATTTATACTAAATAACCGTTAGTTCCGGAGTCCCCTTGAGCAGACGACGACCTTCTAGAATAGAAAGGAATCCCATAGAAAGCAGATATGTTTTTTCTATTCGACCCTCTTCTGGAGAGTTCGAATCGCAGGTATAATGGGGGACCCGTCGGTCGGAGATTCTAAAACATATCAGAATGAATAAGAATGTTTACAGTTTTATGAGTCATTATTTATCGTAACACTATATTCTAATTTAACAATTGAGTTAGGTACTCAAATTTTCTCGAAGTCTTTAATATTCTATTTTAGTCCCCCGCATTATAAAGGTGTCAAGACAAAGACAGTTCAGTTTGGCCTCCATAGCTACCATTGTTATACCCATTAGATCCTCTGCAATTCCAAAGCAAGAAAGTTTTTTCATACTGCTTAATTAAAGGATACCAATAATGCATATGTTTTTGTTCGTTTTACTAAATGTTATGAATCCAATAAAACGTTTCCATATTTTTTCAAGAGTGCACGTGGCTATCATTAAAGTATTCAACCATATTTCTTGTTATTCGTTTTATCTGCAAATTCCAATTATGCTTTTGGTTTAGTACTACTTCGAGATACTTTGTTTCACTAACCAACTTTAGATTTTTACCATTTAGGTTTAGAATAATCTCTAGAATTCACATTCTGGTAAATTTTATGTTTGTTTACTTCTGGCAAAATTGAAAGGTAATTGTGTAGAAGTAGCTTTAACTACAGCTAAAGCATGTTATATTCTTTTTCTGACTGTGCTATCAAAGATGACTAAAGTCATATTATAGGTCACCCACAGAGTCCAGAATGATTCTGAAAATTCTAACCCTGCCTGTCAACCCATCTTTGATTAAAAGTTGAAAAGTGCATACTGAAAAGTTCTTTTAGGGCGTCTTTGCAATTTTGAGTATATTCACCTGACTCCTATTGTAATAAGGCTATACATATTTGACAATCTGTGGAGAGAACTTAATGGTCCTTGACATTTCTGCAGTCTGTTCTATCGTTTTGCAATACTTCTTCGTTATTAAAAAATACATTTGTTATTATTTGAATAAATACTAACTGAAGGTACTCCATATCAAGTGTAATAATATTTTTAATGCAAAAAAATTACTAATAAAAATTGTTTCTTTTCGAAGAAATATCTTCGTATGTCTTGAAAATTTAAATAAACATTTTAAATTTTGTCCCAAGCAACACATTTTAATAATTGCCTTTCAATTTTAAAATAGTATTTCTAATTTAAATATACTGCAATATGCTGAAACTATTAAGCTATTAGCAGGCTCACTACGTTCATAAAGTTGTTCATCAAACTCACATGTTTACATACATTTCAAATAAGAAGAATACATTGATAATATGTTGCCAGTTAAAAAGTGGCCTCAAATATTTTTAATTCAATTAATAGTATTTAGTTTTTGACATATATAGTGTGGAAACCACTTATGGAATAAAATTGTTTGTGTCCTTATTTTAGAAAATAATAAAAAAACGTTGAGATACCTTAACTTTTAAATTTAAATGTACGCTTTTTAGGCATAAATTTGAATGTACAGGGTGATCAATGCAATACCTGGCATAGTGCGTAATCTGTATTTTAAATGAAACACCCTGTATATTTTCATGTTTTTAAAAGCTCCTTAATAACCTGATTTCAACTAACTATATCATGTAGGGTCTATTATGAATAATACAAGGTGAAATTTTGAAACTAGGTATTTTCTTCAAGACAATGAATTCATAGAATACCCGAGGTAATTGATTGGATTACATTAAAATAAATGCTCAACATGTTCTCCACCTTATTGTTGGCAATAACACAGTCTCCTATAAAACTCGTTCCGAACTTTGTTTAAAGTTTGAGGTGAAATATTCCGTATTTCTGTAGTTATCCTTACTTTTTGAGGTCTTCAATGATAGTTGATTGTGTTGCATATACTTTGTTCTTGAGATAACCCCACAACAACATTAAAAGACGTAAGATCTGGCGACCTAGCTGGCCGCTCACTAGTCTCCTTCATCAAATCCACTTATTCAAGAAGATTTCATTCAAGTAATTTCTCACCATTAAAGCATAATGGGGTGTTGCACCGTCCTGCTGGAACCAGACAGTTACGTGCGGTAGGGTCGGATCTATTGGATTGGGATATAAGTTAGCCAACTAAGAAAGAACATCGTCTCTTAGCATGTTTAAATATGTTCCCGCTGTCAAATTATCATCTATTAATATAGGACCAATAATATGATCTCCTATAATACCTGCCCAAACATTCAACTTTTGAGAATACTGAGTGTGTGTCTCACGCATCCAATGAGGGTTCTCCGCTGACCAATATGTACCGTTTTGTCAGTTTACCTCTCCGTTCAATGTAAATTTTGATTCATCAGGCAAATCAAGAGCTATTTCATTTGTTAATTTTATCCCTCATTCTTTTGCAGAAATCCATTCTACAACATCAAAGTTTTCTTTATGGAGACACCTTAGGACAGTTGTGTGACTCACATTATTTTGCAATTTGACGTGAACTTGACGTTGGATTCTCTGCGACACTTAACAAAATATCCACTTCCACTTCATCTTCAATGAAGTTCGATTTTCTTTTTAATGGTTTGACATATCCAAGTTCTCTGAATTGTGTATACATTTTAGACACAGTACCTTGTGAAATATTAGGCAACTGAGGATACCTCTGATTAAAAAAGTTTGCTACTTCAACTTGACTTCTACAATTCTCCCCGTAACCGATCATCATTAAAATCTCTAAAATCAGGCCTTAGTTAAATATTTAATTTTTATTTCTGCTAGAAATTAGTTTTTAATTAAGAATTTATTATTTTAATGTCAAATGTCAACAGCACGTCAACTGATTGATAACAATCCGCATTATTTACCGATTTAGTTTAATTAGCGGACTATCTATACAGTTTTTACCTATTCACGACAAAAAAATGTTAACACGGTTACTAAACAGAAAATTTCCCCAATATACAGTGTACTGACACTTAGAGTAGAAGTTTATTGTCTGTACACAAAGAGAAATCATACGATTTCTACCTGGCGAAATCAAATTCAAATCTTAGCCACCGTGCTTTCTAAAACTTGCAAAGCAAATAGCTTGATGAATAAATCGGCAAGGGAATCTAAGATTGCATTTCAAATCCCATTCATCATGGCCAAAATTCGTAGTGAATTCAATTTCTGGTACTCCAAACGAAGTAAAGAAATAATAATAATAATTCGATACGGAGTAGTGGCTATACCACACTGAGGAGACCTAAAGAGGTCGAAATACGTATATGCGGCTTGTCGCTGCTCTGTATCGAATCAAAATCTAATACCGTCATTTTGTTTATTGTCTGTATTTAGCTAATTTAAAATAATACCATAACACGTGATAAATTATTAATTTCAAAATTTCACCTTGTATTATTCATTATAGACCCTACATGATATAGTTTATTGAAATCACGTTGTAAAAAGTATTTTAAAAACATACAGGTTGTAAAAAGTATTTTAAAAACATACAAAATATACAGGGTGTTTCATTAAAAATAAGGATTATGGACTATGCGTGGATCACCCTGTACATTTAAACTTATGTTTAAAAAGCGCACATTTAAATTTAAAAGTTAACGTGTCCCAGAGTTTTTGGTGATTTTTTTATAATAAGGACACAAAATTTTTATTAATAAGTGGTTTCCACACTGTATTTTATTTCGTTCATTTATTTTTTAAATTTGCTGCTAATGACGTATATGCATGTTTTTTATATAAAATTAAAACTATTTTTTTTTCGTTTAATATGATAATATCAGGTTGTTTGAGAAAAATGGTCGAAAATTAGGGTTGCCAGCTGTTAAAAACGCGAGGTATCAAATGTACAGTAAAAAAGAGTTAGGGTGCAACGACACTGATTTATCAAGTGATAATATGGATATTATTATATATCTTTCGACGCATATACAAAAACTTATACAACTGACACTTAGTTAGCGCGCAACCAGTAGCGTTGCGCGCTATCTGTCTTTTATTTTGTCTTTGGTACTTAATGATACCACGAGTAGCATATTTTATTTAAAAAATAAATGAACCAATTAAATTTTTGTCAAGAATTAATTACTATTAATTGAATTAAAAATATTTGTGGACAAAAAAATATGTAAGGCAGGAAAAATATGTCAAAATTATTATTAGTTAAAAACAATGATATGTGTTTATTTTTAATGTTTTGTCCCTAAAACGTAAACAGAATGAACTTTTCTTTATGTAAAAGATATTTTATGTTTTTCTCGTATATATGTAACATTTTTCTTTTTTTAGTTTCAATTCTGTACTACTTTGGATATTATTTTTATGTCAATTGGAGCTATTTGTGCAGCACTAAGTGGAATAGTCCAACCATATTCTATGACATTATTTGGAGATGTTACGGGCGCAATAGTAACATACGCTTCAAACTACAACGATTCCCTTAGTGAACCAAACAAGACTTTGTTAGCAGATGAATTAATAAATGCTGTTTGGTTGTTTGGGATGAAGTCGCTAGGAGTTGGAATAGGCGTTATTTTAACTACCTATTTATCAACGGTCCTTTTTATTTACAGCGCATCCAGACAGGTATGAATCTTTCAATATAAAATAATAGCAATAAAAAGCCGTAATTTTAAAGTAAAAGTTAATAATATGTAGAAGTTAATAATAATATGTAACATATTTATTCTTATTACGGTGCCTTATCCTTAAGGACGTTGGCCATTACATTTGCCCATTTAATCTTATTTGTAGCAGCCCTGGATGGTTATATGGAGGTCATGTTCGTCCATTGCCGTAGGTGTTTAAGTCAAGAGTTGCGTCTTCTTCCTGGTCCTCTTTTGCTATTGAATTTGCCTTCGATTATAAGTTGGAGCAGTTCATACTTTTGATTTCTTATGATGTGACCAAAATATTGTGTTTTCCGTTCTTTTATTATAAGCAGAAGCTCTCTTTCCTTATTCATCCTCCGCATTTGTCGTATGGCTCATGTAGGATATTCTGAGCATTTTACGGTAACACCAGAGTTCGAATGCTTGGATTCTTTTTTGTGTTGCTTCTGTCATTGTCCAGGCTTCAACACCATAGAGCAAGGTGGGGAAAACATAGCACTTAAGTATTCTAATTCTCAATGAGATGCCCCCAGCTGGTTGCATAGAACTTTTTGCATTTTGTAAAACATTGTACGTGCCTTTTCCAGGCGTATTCTTATCTCTAGGGAGTGGTCCCAAGTTTTTATTTCATTCTAAATTCTCTACAGGCTGTCGTTACTCGGTCCATTAAGCGTTGCAGGGCTTCAGCATTATCTGCCAGTATGACAGTGTCATCAGCATATCGCAGGTTATTTATACATTGCCCGTTTATAATTATACCATCCGAGGTGCCTTCCAAAACTTTCTGAAATATGTTCTCAGAGTAAACATTGAATAGCAAAGGTGATAGGACATATACCTGTCTTACTCTCTTTTCGATATTGATTTTTCCAGATGTTTCGCTTTATATTCTGATTTTAGCCTTTTGTTCTTGGTAGAGGTTTGAAATTATCCCTAAGTCTTTATCGTCGATATTACATGACCTTAAAATATCTATTAGTTTATCATGTTTCACCAGGTCAAACGCCTTCTGAAAGTCTATAAAACACAAGTATACATCAGAATCGACATCTCTACATCTTTCAACTAGCACACGTATTAAAAAAAGTGCTTCTCTTGTACCGAACCCATTCTTAAAACCAAACTGATTTTGACCATATTTATTGCACTTTTAAATTAAGACTGAATAATTTTTCGATCAATTTATTAATATTATATAAGTTTTTACCGGACGAAGAGTATGACGAATACTTAAGATTAACAATCACAAGTAAGATAACTCAGGACCCTCAAGTTAGCGGGTACAAATGGGCAGAATCCAATTTAATCTATGTAATATTTGTTCACCCATTTTTCACTAATTTATTACCACCCTAATAATTTTTCACCACCACTTGGACCACCAACAACAACCCTTAATAGGAGCAATTCTGCTGGCTTAAGGTTCAAGCTGGCAGAATTCAGAAAAAAAACTTGTTGCCAATGGCATATTTTTTACCTATTTTTCACTAATTTATTACGACTCTAATAATTTTTCACCACCAAACCACCCTTAAGGGGAGCGATTTTGTTGGCTTACCATTAAAACTAGTACAATTCCAAAAATAATATTCATGATGTACCACAGTGTTTTGCTAGATTTTTATGAATTTATTACCATATTAGTAATTATTCACCCCTCAACTACTTCTTATGAGAAGTCAATAATTCTGTTGTGGTAATATTTAAGGTGATAAAAATCTATTTTTAGAAATTTTACTGTACTCTTCTTGTAACTGAAGGTATAAATTGCTTGCTAGGTTTCTTCTGAATTCTATCCAACGAAAAATTAGTAAAAATCGAGCAGAATCATGTGGGATTTTAAAATTTTTATTTGAATTAGATTATATAATACTAATATTCTAGCTTCCGCTGAATAGCTTAATATTGACTTCCCACAAAGAGTAGTTAAGACTGCTGCTAACATATTATTACAAAAAATATTATTAAAAAATGTCCTATTCTAATAAATGTTTCTCTGAAATAAATTTTGATAAAGTTTCTTAACATAAACAATTAAATTTGTAAACAAAAATTGAATAGCTACAAATCAGCCTCAATATCATAAATACCAACTTAAAAATTTTTATTTTTGACATATTGTCTAAAATAAAATTTTGTTTAAAAATTTTTTTTTGTTTAGTAACAAAAAAGAAGAAGATTTATTCACCATTGATAGATGCCGAAAAAACTGTAACAAATACATGGAAAATTCAAAATGTGATATTTTACTGATTGTATATATAAATTACATAGAAATAATATAATTATAAATTTTGCTTAGATTTAGAATTTCTGACCTTTTGTTTAAATTATTATCACTTTTGCTAATACAAACCATTTCCAAAAAAGTTCTTTTAAATTTATTACTTTCACTACATAAAATTTTAATATTATCAAAATCCATAATATGGTCTTTGTCTATTACATGCTCTGCCAAAGCACAAGATGGTTTCTTAATTCTGCAATCACTTTTGTGAGAAATAATGCGATTTGAGAGATTTCTTCCAGTCTCACCAACATACTCAGCTTCACACTGAGTACAACCAATGCTGTATACTACATTTGTTTAATCTAATTTGTCTATAGGATATTTAGTTTTGAAATATAAAGATGAAATGGTTTTGATGTTCTTTGTTGCTATTTTTATATTGTCAATAACCTTTAGTGTTTGTATTAATTTACTAGTTAATGATGGTATAAAAGGTAGTGAATGATAATATATGTTCTGATTGTTGGATACAGTGTTTTGAGATTTAGCAAAAAATGGTGCTAAGTTATTTATATTTAATAAATTAGAAAAAAACATCCTATGTAGCATATCTGGAGGATAAGAGTTTTCGATTAAAATATTTTTTAACAAATGAAGATCTTCTTGTAGATAGTCTGGATGAGAGTTTTAAAGTTTTAAAACACGTTCCTTTAATCCTGTTATAAGAATTACATGAGAATTGTAAGAAATACAGACAATATGTTGAAAACCAGATGGTTCAGAAAAGTCATATGTAGTAATAGTTTATAAGCTATTACTCTCACCATCCAAATAAGATAAAAATGAACCTTATAACAGCCTTTTTAAAAAAATCTTAAACATGCTTATTTTTCAGTTAAATGTTCTACATTTTTCAATATAATTTTATTATACAAGGTGATACACATTAGGGCGATAACGTCATCGGCTCTTTTTCCAAATCTAATACCCTGTATTTTAGGTCATTTTTAGATCGATAAAAATTAGCTGATTTCAAAAAAGTGTAATACTGGACGTTTAACGGATATAATTTGAAAGATATGCGCTTAGAAAAATAATTTTTATTGATTTCTAATATTCATAGATTATAAATAAATTATGATAAATAGCTTGAAAGTAATCCAGTAATTAATACATGACTTTATCTAAAATGCTTAAATTTCCTTGTTTATGTATTGTATTTCCTAAATATCCTTTTTGTATTTGACGGTAACCCAAACGTTGTACAAATTCTTGTAGAACCTTGTTTATGGTGTCTTGAGAAATATTGTTCATTTCTTTACGAATTCTTGTTTTTTGGTTTTCAATATTTGCAGGTTTGGTTTTATAAACAACATTTTTTAAATGGCTCCACATAAAATAATCCAAAGGATTGAGGTCTGGCGACTACGCGACCTCTTCGGACAATTTATCGACAATCCACCTGTTGAGAAATATTTCGTTTAGGTACCTTCGAACACCTACAGCATAATACGGGGGCGCACCATCCTGTTAAAATCATAAACTTTTATCAAAACCTCCAAGATTAATTCTACTGGGGAATAAATTAACTAAAACAGATACAAGGTACCTCCTTAAAAACTGAGGGTATGCAGGCCCGTTAAAATTAGCTTCGAAAAAGTAGGGTCCGATCATTCTATTTCTTACAAGACCAGCCCATACGTTTACCTTTTGCGGGTATTGTATATGATGTTCCCGCATCCAGTTAAGGCTTTCTTTTGCCCAGTATCTACAATTCTGACGGTTGACCTCGCCATTTAATGTAAATGTAGCCTCATCAGAAAAAATAATATTTTGAATCAAAAGAGGGTTTCGGTGACAGTTATCCATCATTGTTTCGCAAAATTTTATTCTTTTATCTTGATCATCCAGCATCCTCGTTTAATTCCTGTACAAGTAAGTATTTACATGTTATAAACATCTAATGTTGTATCATAATTTACAAAGGGCCGACCTGATTTGCGTGCATTTTCAACCGTACCAGTTTCTCGAAATTTCTTTTCAATCTTACTTACTGTTGACTGCGTTATGGGTCTTTCTGGATATATATCATTAAATAAAATAGTCACTCCCATCTGAGTTCGCGATTTCTCTCCATACCTAATCGTCATGAGTATTTTAATGTTTTCCTTGACACTCAAATTCATTTTTACTTCAAATTAATTCTAAGCAATAATACAGATCATTCACGAAATAATACAATAATTGTACTACTTAATAGTTATTGAAAGTTACTAAAAATTACATTTCACTAACAACTAGTAGTAGGCTACTTTTTTGCAATTGATAAAAAATAATTTATCTTTTTAGAGCATATCTTTCAAATTATATCCATTCGACCCCGAGTATTATAGTTTTTTGGATTCAGCTTATTTGTATCGATCTAAAAATGTCATAAAATATAGGGTGTTACATTTAAAAAAAAGAGCAAATGACGTCATCACCTTAATGTGTATCACCTTTTATAATGATATTTTGTTGAGGAATGTAGAACATTAAAGTTAAAAATCGACGTGTTTTATATTTTTATAAATAAACTTTTTATATATCGAATTTATTCCATACTTTACGGACACACTGTATATATATTGCTATGATATTTTGTTTGTATTGTATTATGAGCAATAAGTATTTTTAAATAACAAATATAGGGTTTTTGTCGCAGTTCTCAAAGAAATAGTTTGTAAGCACTTTTAAAATTATCT